TACGCATACATGCATATGTACACACACTCACACATACGGGCTTCCCAGGGACTGTCTGTGTTTTTAGGAAAAGCATGTTCATTACCCTGAAGTAGTTGTATTTTCATCTTTTGCATTATTCAAATTCTCTTAAGAATCGATTAGTTTCAAGAATTAAAAATCCTTCTTTAGTTAAAGTGGGAAGTATCTCATGGTTTAAGGCATTCTGAAGAGCTAAGCTCAGTTTTCTGCCAGAAGAGCTGCTTCAGATCTTTATGCAAATGACTTAGTAAACGCGGGGCACCAGAAGGAGGAGTTGCATCTCAGTCTTTCTGACCCTCTTCTTTCCATTTGTTAAACAGATATGAGTCCTTCCGTGCTTCAGAGGGGTATTTTGGATATAACTTAAGGATTGTGCAATAATAAAAAAGAGGACCCTGCAAGAACATTGAAAGATAGGTAGTAGTAAAAATAATTTCCCAAATCTACAGCCAAACATTCCTGTGGTAATCTCTTCATGGTTTTGTTCCTTTTCATGTGACACAAGGAGCGGCGGACCTGCTGTCTGCATGCTATTTTCACCTTCTTTTTGAAACATGCAAGTTGTATCTGCCTTGGGGACGATGAGGACGTGGGTTTCATCTCATTACCAATGCCAACGGGAATCAGTAGACAACTTGCTACTTTAATTTCTAAGGACTTATGCTTATAGTTATGATGGTAGTTAAGCTTATCATGTGATCATTCACCAAAAAAAAAAAAGGTGAATAGTTGTTTTTCCTCTAGTATATCTACCCACTGGCAATGAGTAGTTAGGATTAAAAGCTCCATCTAGCCTGAGGCTATAATGAATATTCAGGAAAAATGATTCTGTACTGCTGCTTAGGGGAGTAAAAAGACAACCTTGTAACATTAAAATCTCCTGTGCCTTTGGAGTAAAAAAGCAATATTTGATTAAGAACAGGAAAATAGAAGGCATACTGATGTACATCTCACACCAAAAGAGATTGTTTTGTATTAAATCACTAACAAATTCCTGTAGATCAATATTATATTTTAGCTGATGATAATTTCATCAAGGCTTTGTTTAGATGGCGTTTGTTAAAAAAGTACAGCAGATGAATAAAGTGTGCTGCCAATGTATGTAAAAGTCCATTGAAGTATTCATTTATTCTTCTGGATTGACACATACAGTAATATTATGCTACAAATTCTATAATAATTGCATTGAATCATCATTAATGAGAGAACCTAGAAATCTAGCTATGTGTAACAGAAGGCGGCAGTGTATAGCAACATGGCAGACTTTGAATATCAAAACATTAAAATCCTTTACAAGATTAAGCAGAGTATATTTTAGTTACTGCGTGTTGTTGATTTTGCCAGTGTAAACGCCTATCTGTTTTTACCACTAATGACATTTTACTTATCAAGGCATTTCAAAAATATTTTTTCATTATACAGGCTTCATCAACCACTTTATCAATTATAAAAGCTATACTTTATCAATTATAAAAGCTATGGGCACTTTCATGAAGTTGGACTGGAGTAAAAAGGATATTTTTGTTATATTACAAGTATTTTTATTAGGTATTTTTAGCAGAGATTTTTGTAATGAAATTTATGTGCCTCAAGATGTGTTCTCTTACAAGCTATATTCTCAATCTTTGAATGTTTTATAAATCCAATCTCTGCTAAGAATCAGTAAATGGAATTTGGTAATTAGTAAGTGGAATTTGTAAATCAGGGTCAATCTTCCAGAAGTCTGAATGGAAGGGAGGCCCTGAATCAGCAAAACGCTTAAACAGCATGCCAAAACAAAGCCTATATATGATCACTTTAAACCCAGTGTTTGGTGCACAGGAGTAAGTCAGGCTGCCCACCTTCTTACTTTTTATCCTGAGTTTAAAACTTTGCTGAATATGATCAAAAAATTATTTTTTCCAGAAATAAAATTTTGAACTACATTTATGTAGTCAATGATTGCACTTACATGTGAACTTTCTCCTTTTAATTATTTAAATATTTCTCAAAGTTTTTGTCTTGTTCTCAGTCGAAAGGTAAATTTCTGTGGAAAGGTTGTATAATTCCCAGGCAACTTCCTCTGCATTATGTAAGTGTATTTCATGCATTTCATATGAAAATATAGTGGTCGAATCACATGAAAATCTTGTTTTCAACCATGTGAAAACTTACGGTGCATTTTCCCAAGTCTGCAGTACAAATATGATAGGAAATTATGAATTTCATGCATGAATTACTTTTTGTTCATGATCTAAGATACAAAATGTGACATTGCGGATAGAGATAGGTCTATTAAGGAAGTCTGAGAAGTGGAAATGAGAAATTCTTTGAAAACATGTTAGCTATCTATAGAGCGTAAAAGCTCTGATGTTCTCATGCAGAGCCTTCATCGCACAGAAGTCCTATGGGTAGCAGGGAAGCTCCGGCACGTTGTGGCTATCGCCACTAGACACTTAGGGTGTCCCTGCAGCTCGTAGATGGAGGACGGGCCAACCTGGAGCTACACAAGGAGGAATCGGAGCAGGAAGGGACCTGGAGGCAGGACTGAGGGAGCAGGAGGGAGCAACGTCTGTGTTGCAGAGAAAATAGAAAGGGAGGAAGAGGTATCGGGGCAGGTTGGAACAGAAAAAGGCAAGGTTTGGTCTGGTTGGAACTAGGGATCGACGGGATATTCCAGTGCAGCTCTGCTGGAGGAGACTCACCTTGAAAAGGGAGCTCTCACACGTACATGCGTTCCAGGGCTGGCACAAAAGAAAATGTTTGATTTCACAGTAATTTTTCACGAGGGTATCTAGCATTATCAATATACGATATTTACTGAATGAACAAATGAATTAGATAAATGATTAAGGAAAAATCAAATTTGGAAATGCCTATTTCAATCCAACAATTTTCAAATTTCATAGAAATTCTTTTTTTATGCAAAATTCAGCATTCTTCCAATTGCTATCAGTGACTTCACTATGAAGTGAACTGTGAACTTCTTTAATTTTTTTCTTAAAACAAAAAAACAAATAACGTTTCCTCACTATGAATGTTGCTATTTTTTTCTCTTGGAATTTTAAGTGAAGGAAAAATCAAAGTTTTCACTTCTTTCATTTGGGTTTTCAAATTATTTGCTTATTAAGTTATGGGAACTAAAAAGGGGCAGTTTTCCAAGACTGATCCAACAAGTGAGCCTTTCAAAAGGAACTGCCTATACAAACTGTACAATCAATCATTCAAACTGTTTACCAGCTTGAGAAATTGAAGACCTTTCTGTTGCATTTGTTGCGTTGATTTTAGCATTGGAGTAGTGCAATTGATGGAAAACAAAGAGCTTAATTTATTATCTTTTGAAAAAAATGAGAAATTGTTACTTATTAAGGAAGACAAACTGGTCAAATTGTCTTAGGTAGGGTGGAAATTGGGTTAATATGAATGAAAAAGATCTCCCAGTGAGCTATTCAGTATGGATCAAAAGAACAATGTTTTTTAAATTGTGTTGGAGAACGAATGTTTATGGCAGCACTGTAAGCAGCTGTGAAGCCAGCATAGTGAGTTATGTAGTGCCAACATCATGAACATTATTATGAGGATATCTAAGCAGAAGAATTAACATAAAAGATACACAATTCATATCTTCTGGAGGTTCCCTCATTTCTGTATTGGGCCTCAAGGAAATTCAAAACAGAAATGAAAGTCAAAGATGTAACTACTTCCACGCTGCCAGTGCAGCTTTCATGCATATTTCATGGATGCTGCATGGGCGGGGAGATCACCATTTTTATTGGAATGGCAGAGCTGAGTCTCAGGATTTTACTATTCGTGTAAAGCACTAGGAATAGAGCCTGCGTTTTTTATGTTTGTGTTTAATTGTTGGTGTAAACTGACAGAAACAGTAATGAAGTATATTTCCCGTGTGTTCACTAAGCTGAGAACCTTCATGTCCACTGGACTGTTTTAAACTAAGCTTCATCAAGGCTCAGCCTGTTTTTAGAGTTACTGCAAAGCAGTGCAGCTTTTGGACTTTTTATAATATCCAAATGGGAGACAGACTGTGATAGACTCAATTACCTGTCTATGATAAAGAGTGAAAGATTTAGCAAATGTAAATAATTGCTGCAGTACCAAATAGCCTACCCACAAGTTTTACTTGTACCACATCTTGTAATAGCACCATTCATTATTGAACCAGATCACGCTACCGTGTTTTACATTGTCAGTATTGCAAATGGTAAGATATTTGTTGAAGAGCATTAGAAAGCAGAAAAAAAGAACGACCCATGGCCTGAAAGTTGCATTGAGCAATAACTGTTATATGTGCCAGAATCAGAGCCTTAGTGCTACTGAGCTGTTTTCAATGGAAAGGATAGTCGATTACCCTCTCTCTATATGGTACGTATTCCGTAAGGGAAGTAAATGCCTAGAAATCATGAAAAGCCAACACTTGAGGATTTCTATTTCTAGCTTTAAATAAAACATTTTTATCTTTCATTTACCTTTTTGCCGTTCCAAGTTATTCTCTGAAGTCAGAGGAGAGTTCAGAAATGCTGAATTGCGTTCTGATAGCCCTCGACTCATCCTTGTTGTTTAGATCAAGGTGTAATCAGCCAGTACTTCAAGATTGCATTATTTTGTATCATAGTGATTATTTTCAACATACCTTACATACAGTGAGTCATTAGAACTGAAAAATACTCTTTAAAATAAAGGGGTAAATAAACTCTCTGTCATCCAAAGTGATACTTTCACTCTCTGGGAAATGAACATTTTGTGATATCTTTGTCTTTTAAAACAAGTAAATCTTCCTTTTTCCATGAACTTTCTGTAATGGATTTGCAGTTACTTGATGTGTCTTGAAATAAGTTAACTAATGAGATGAGATTCAGTCGTGACATGCAATTTCACAAAATTGCAGTATAGCCACTTGTAACAAAGTTTTCTATTGCCTTGATATACCTTTTGTTCATATTACTTTTAATTGTGTTCTATATTTATCTGACCTATTTGAACAGGATCCAGAGCTGGTACGGAACATCTGTCGCTGGGTTAGACAAGCTGTTCAGATTCCTTTCTTTGCCAAGCTGACCCCAAATGTCACTGATATTGTGAAAATTGCGATGGCTGCCCAGGAAGGTAACCAACTCCGGTGCACAGACTGTGCAGTTTTACTAGTTTGCAGGATGTGGGGGAGTTGGGGGAGAGGGGATGCTAGAAGTAATAACAGGTAGCAACACAAATTAATATGAAAACAGTTTTTCTAATGTATTTAGAATAAGCACAGTGATCACAAAGGTTTCCTAAATTTTTTAGATGTTGTATAATAGAATATAACAATCTATAAAGAGAACTATATTAGTTTGTTAACAGTAAACTGTATGTGTTCTTGTGTAGCTTTATATGCACACTCCTATTTATATCATATTTATATGTTTACCATACCACTGTATCTTCACTATTCCTACTTTCAGTAGTAAAAAGGGTGTGCAAGTCCTGAGAAAACAGAAATACACCATTTGAGGTATATTTAAATCTTTTTTTCTCCTTAAACTTTAATATACGACATTTAAATATATGACAGTAAATCAATTTCCAAGCAGATGTATTAATCTGTCACTTAGAACCACGTTCATAGTTTCTCCGTCACGCTGTTTACTTCCTCTCGCTTCTCACTGTGAGAAGCAAGAATGTGGTCTGGCTCCAGCAAGGCAGAGCAGGTGGAGGAGGTTATAAGCAGGTGGCTGCTGTGCAGGGCCATCTCCAGATGTGGAGTAACCAGTGTAACAGATTTGGCCCCACACAGCTGAAAGGCAGCGATCTGTCCTTCTGCCTCAGTGTTTCCCAGGTGCCACATATAACCCTTACAGTGCTTTCAACTGATGGCAGCCTGCCTTGAAGCTAGTGTTAACTCTATCAGTCCAGGATTGGTTTTAAAGACCTTTCTCCACATCCCATTACAGCTTGTTACTTTCTGACTTCAGCTATTTATTTGAATTTCTAGTTATTTCACAGTTTCACAGTTTTTCTGTTTTTTTTCCCCTTTCTTATTCATATATGCATTATTTAACAAAAAGTGACTGACCTTTTCTTTCACAGGTGGTGCAGATGGTGTTACAGCCACCAACACTGTGTCAGGACTGATGGGACTGAATGCAGACAGCACACCTTGGCCAGCAGTTGGTGGAGGACAGAGGACCACATATGGTGGCGTGTCAGGTAGGTGTTGCCCTTTTTGATGCATAATACTTCCTTGGAGGCTGACAAAACATCAGGAGGTCCTTGTAGTGGGCTAGACTATCATGTCTGCAGTTGCACTGAGTTCTTAGAGCTCACTGCTGGTCAATGTTTCTAATAGTCATGACAGATGGAACAGATTAAGTGTGAAGGCTCTTGTGTTGCCCTTTCCTTAATGGTAAAATGCTGCATCAGAATACTGTGATAGGGTCACTAGAGTGAGAAGGAAATCTCTTCTCTTGTGACCCTCACTTTTCCTGGAATTTTTCATTCTGTCACAATTGTCAGGCCCCGCGTTAGACAGAGGCTAATGAAAGGGCATCGCAAGGGGAAAATATCAACAATCCAAATGCAGTATATGTTTCATAGCCTGATCTCCGGCCTTCCTTCCTCCTCCCGACTGAATACACCTCTTCCAAGTAGATTATTTTGTCCTCTTCCCACTGTGGTAAGAAATGATAGGTTCTATTAGGCAAATTTATGTATATTTGTGTAGTTTATTCTTTGAGATATACAAGAATACCTTGTATAGACCATGTTTCCAAGTGCTGCTTCATGGTTTAATTTTAAAACCAGCAACAAAACTTTTACACTCCAGTTCAGTGCCTGTGCACACTAATGCATTAATCTGCTGACCCTGTGCACTCTGTTGCTGTGACAACATGAGCTTGGCCCTGCAAAGACAATACTGTGAGCTTCTTGACTTTACTGGAATGGAGATTAGTCTCCTTGGTGATAGAAGTGGCAGTAAATATACATAGCAGAAGTAATAGCATCCTCCTGATTAAGTCAAACACTGCCGTAGCAGAACCGTTCCCCACCTCACCCCAAAAAAGTAATCAGAGGAGACCAGACAGGCAAAAAAATGCCTTTTTTATATGGCTGGTGCTATTCTTTAGAGAACCATAAGAAATGTAGCAAAAGATACCTATTAAACAAACTTTAGTTCAGACAACTGTATTCAGTGGAAAATTGCCTTACTGCCTTAGATAACTGCATGGAATTTGGAAGTTTTTAGAGAACACTGAAAAGCAAGGAAGAGATAATAATCAGAAAAAAATCATTATGCCTATTGCATAATGATTATATCACAGTGACAGTCCAATAAGATGTTATAATTTTAATATTATGCAAAATGGAAGGAAAGGAGGAAAAAGAAGAGAACAGCTACAGCCCATTTCAATTTCTCTAGCCTGCCATGTTGACAGGAAAAGAATAAGGGAGGTCACAGTGGGTGCTGTGCATTAAAAATTAATAAAAGAACTATTGCGGTAGTATTTTATGTAAGTAACACCATTCACATTTTCTCATTTAAGTTGCAATTTCTGAATATTCCTTCCTACCATAAGTCTGTCTAATAAAATCTATAAAATGACTTCATTGTGAAAAGTGTCTCTAATGTCACAAATTTAAAACATGTATGTAGTGTAAATTACAGAAGCACCTGGATGCTTAGCCCCATGGAAGGGCCTGCCAGCATTTCCATATTTTCATGATTTATAATTCTGTTATAACTTAGACCTGGGGAAAAGTTTACCATTTTGCACACACACATACGCATGTGTGTTTGCATGTAAATATAAAAATGTCTTTTCCTTCCTGAAGTTTTACATATATCAAAGGAAATAGAAGATGTCAGTTTGGGATACGCCATTACCTAAGATGCAAATCTGATTATTTAAAAAAATATGAAAACCACTGGAAGTTTTGTCAATGTATTATGTTTTGAAGGAGTATATTGTTGCAGACAAATAAGTAAGGGTTTTTGGCTGGTAACTGACATCACTAGGTCCCAATCCCACAACTTGTTGTGCAAAAGCAAGCCACAAAGCCAATAAAGTCAGTAGACTCTGCACACACACTGCAATACTTTCTGCTCAATGATCAGGATGTAACATTATACAAATTTATGAAAGCAAGAAAGCAGTTTTAAATCAAGAGAGCTGGTATGCTTACAACAGGACAAAAGATGGGAGAGTGTTTCTTCTTGTCAGAGCAAGGTGCAGGGTGGCCGTGGTTCTGAGTCCTGTTCCTCACCTTGCCAGGGCTCAGTTGGGTGGCCTAAAGCCAGACGCTTGACCTTTCTGTTTTTTCTATTTCCTGTCTGTGAAAAGGCAATAACGCCACTCACATGCCTACAGGCTTGTTGGGAGGTGCTTTGTGATCCTTGCATGAAAGTTACTTCATAGTGTAAAGTAGTGTTTTTCTATTTTGATTTGCTGAAACTTTTTATTTGATTTTTTCTATTTTATTATCTGATATAGCCAGTTGGCTTTTTTTTTTTTTTGGTCTTTCACATAATCCATCTGAAGGGAAAATTCATGTTTTTAAGTAAGTCAAAGGCAATGCTATTATAGTGGCAATAAGTTTGGTCCATTTTCCACATGTTGTGCAAAAGCCCAGCTGGCTTATAATGTTCTCCAGTGCATAAATCTAGAGCAGATACAGGGTGTAGCCAACATACCTTGCTCTGCGTTTTCTCCAAATTCCGCAGATTTTATTTCTTTTCTAGAATAGAAATGACTCTCATTTGGACGTCAATAGGCCTAGACATACAGTAAGTGAGGCAGGACTTTCTGACTCCCAGAGGTATACGACACAGTTGCTGCTGTATGATTTGTGCGTGCAGTGAGAGCTGGACTCTTAGGGTGTGAAGATTTCTGCACGGAGCTCTCAGGTCAGGTGTGTTGGCAAGTTCTGCAAATGTACCTAAGCTCAAGATCACCTGGTTGGTGAGGAATTGCTCATAGTGGAATATTTTTAAGGTGCTTTCTCCAGTCTGGATTAAACTGGCTTTAGATCAGTCTAGACTTGCCTTTCTTGTTTTTTCCCCCTTCTTTGACGCTTTATAGCTTTGCTGCAGACATATACGTCTCAGGGTAGTGCAGGTTACCTTTTCCAGGTGGAACATGGCTATATACTAAAGAAACGTCTTCCATGTACAACTTCCCCTTGGCTTCCTCTTCCTTCCTCTTGCCTGCTTCTGCATGAAGCAGCCGTATGTAGAAGGATTGTTATTCATCTTTTCAGAAGAGAGAGCCATTGGAAAGGGAATTTCTTTTTAATTCCTTCTAAATTAGTAAATGACAGGGAATTTCCCACAGTTTGTCTAAAAGTAATAAAACATAAAAAGCATGTTGTTTATTAACTTATTACCAAAGTTCCTGAGATGTCTTTGAGAGCAGAGACTTGTGTCTTAGTCGTTTCTTTAAACCTTTCACAGAAGGAGAGATTTAATGAGATGACTTTTAAAAATCCCATTTAACTTTGAGTTGTCACAGTCAGTATTTTCTTTCGAGCCAGTGCTCTGGAAGTTAACTTCCTATTTTGATATAATTTGATGGGCTAAAAATTGCTAAACTGTAAGAAGCATTGCTGTTTCCTCCTTCCTACTGTAATGTTTATTTGGTGATTCTGACGGGGAGGCGTTCCAGTATCCCAGCCGAGTGTCTGTCCGCTAGACTGTAGAATTAGTGTCTCTCCCTCTCTTCTCCATCTCCCCGCAAATATCAAATTATAGTACAACATGAAACAGCTCTCACAGGACACACGCAGTAGCACAGCCTGCCAACCTGCGCACTTACCTCATTTGAGAGACTCGAGTTCATAATCCCTGGTGTGAAGCAGGGAGTCCCACCTGGCTCCCCTCTGATCCTGGTTTACCCTCTGACTATTGAACGTTGTCAGAACTCGTTCCCCTCACCTT